TATACTTGTTGTCTAGGTTGCTGGTGAGAAGTTAAATCACTTTTAGCACTATTTTATCCTTAAAATACCTTCTGGAAGAACAGTTGTTACAGGGGATTGGATTTTGGTGGCTGGAACAACAGAACCACACCACTTAACTGAAAAAGTATGTACTGAATGCAAAGGGTACAGGGGATGGATGGTGATTTCTCCTTTTCTCCTCCTGTTAGCCTCCTGTCCAGTTCGGGCTGACACCATGGGCCCAAGGGACCAGGACCCTCTCTCTGACAGCAGCTGTAGTCAAGGTCTCTTTTATTTGAGCAGTGCTTTTAGCTTGCCTTTAACCTATGACAAATATGGAACACTACAAGGTGTAAATCAAAATAACAATACAAGTATTTTGTTAAAGGCATGCACAAAGCCTAAAATAAATATTTAAGTAAATATTTATTTAGACAGACAAATATTTATTCTTAATCTTGGCCCCTCAATAATGTCACTATTCATTGTTGAGACAACTTGGCTTCTGTATTTAAAAAAAGGAAGTCAAACTGCATTTGCTAGTTCTAATTATAGGGGCACTGCTGTCCCTATTTCTCAAAGAAGCCACCACAAAAAAGAAGCCACGTTGGTCTGCAGATAGCTGGTCACTAGCAATCTTGATGTAGGCTGACTTTGTTTGGGGATATTTTCTTCTTACCATCAGGATCTCAATCAGCCTGTACGACAAGCTAGCACTTTCCTTGCAAAGTATGTTCTGAAAAGCAAACAAAATAGTTTTCTCTATTAAAGTGTTAGTCAGCACATAGCTCTGAAAACGGCTGCCGTGAAGAGTCATATTGGTTGAGTTTAATAGTTCATGCATTGTAAATGCTGAAATTGGATATGTCACTGAAAGCTGCTCTTGGGCAGTTTCAGCTTGCATGACCGGCATTTACCCAGCACATCACCACAGGTCTTGCTGATCTTCCCCTGGCAGAACTTAAGCAATGTTTTTATAATAGATACATTTTTCTCTTATTTTATTTATTTAACTATTCCCCCTCCCCAACACACACACATTAACATGTTTTTCTTGGAAACTGGAGCATACATTTCATCTTCTACTGCCTGCTTCCTTCTTCAGCGCATCTATTTGAGTGCCCCTGCAAGGGAACTCCACCTTGTGCAGCTCCGCCATGCAATATTTCAGTTAGTAGTGTGCTTCAAGTTTCCACATTGTGCATTGCCAAAAACAGTACAGGATATAAAGGATCTAATGCTTTTGAGGGAAAGCTCTGCCCTTAAGGCACTCTGTAGTCTGTAGCTGCCCTGGTCTATCAAGGGGAGCTGAGCAATAAAATGTAATCTTAAAACTCAGATGACTGGTAAGTGTTGGAGCCACAGCAGAAGGCAGCAGTGTTTTGAGTGTTAGGGTTGGTGTTTTCTGGTGTATGAATATGGGCAGATCATGCCAAGCAGCTCTTCTGATGCTTGTTGATAACATGCAGGCTGCAGCCCCTTCTGCACAGCTGATGACAGCATTGGAAGTGGGTGGGGGGGAGCCTTGTCTGTGCCATGATACCTGGTTTTCAGTTTTTTTTCAGTTGTACAGTTACATTTTAAACTTACTTTCACAATATCCAGTACCCTTGTCATACTTAAAAGATACATTCCCGGAACAGTTTTGCTTGTGTGAGGTTTTTTAATACACCATGGAGTAAGAATGCACTGGTATTAGAAAAGTGACACCACAATTAACTTTCAGGGTCAAGAGAAGAAGAAAACTGTGCAAGGAAGCTATTTAGTACAGGGTTACTCAAGAGTGCTAGCATTTAACTGTTTTGAGCGCAGTGAAAGCTATTACAGGCTTCAGATATTATCAGTCTGCTCTTGGCATTTAATGCCAGCAGCCCTGCTGCGATACGCAGTGGAGTGGTCAAAAAGCCACAACAGAGGCTGGTTTTCCTCCTGAGTGAATAACTTCAGCTTTTCCTTTTTTTTCTTCTGTACATATGGATATCACAAGTTTGCTTTACTGTTATTTCACAGCATTTACTATAATCCATCTGAATAATTTAATAGCATCAGTGAAATGTTATCTGAAAGTGCTTTCAGAGAGCCGCCAGCAATTTGAGGTCATGATGCAGGTGGGTGGATCTCCAAGTTGGGATTGGGCTTGGACCCGGAGCTCTGGGGCTGGGTCTCACCAAGAAGATCACAGCATGAAATGTCGGGGCCTCAGCATTTTAGGAAACCATCTATGGTAGTACATGGAAGGGGAAACCCTTCTCTGGTTAGGGTGATCTCTTTGCAGTTTCAGGCTCATGTGGGAGAGTGAAGAGTTTTAAGACCATGGGAGGCTTGTTTCCTCTCCAGCCTTGTGAACAAGAGGCCAGTGCATGGAGGCCCATGCAAACCAGAGTTTAAGTATTTTTGGTGTGTTTGGAATGGATGGTGTTGAAGAGGACAACAAAACAATCCTTATTTTTCTTCAGCATTCTGCAAAAAACAATTGGCACGGATCTTCAGCATTTTGTGATAGTCTCTTCTCTGCCAGCAATAGGGGATTGTTCTGTCAGAGTTGTAATAGCGAAATGCATCTTATGTATGGAGTATTTTACTCTGAAATACTACTTTTCAATGTTGGTTCCTACTGTTTTTAGGTTCTTTGTAGGCTATGTTTGGATGCATTGAACTTGGAAGGATGGCATGATTAATGTGCCACTGTTATGGTCAAGATGTCATGGAGCTCTGTTCTCAAAAGCTACATCCTTGCTGCTCTGAAAAATATTCAAAGATGTTGCAACAGTTCATAAATCCATAAAACAAATTGTTGAAGAATATTTATAACTAACACACAGAAAAATATCCAGTAACTTGTACTGTTTAAATAAATCATTAGAGGACAGAAAATGCAATACTGGAAACTTCTTTTCACTTTTTTTCAAGGGGAAGTATGGTCCTACAAAGCAGCTTGATTTGGAAACTAATTTACAGCTGTAACTGGCATACATGTCCATATAAATAGTAGTAAATACATTTAAATAGCTGTGTTCCAGCTTACATTTAGCAGTGGAGGAAATGCAGGATGTTTTTCCTCTATTCTCTATTTCCTTTGAAATCGTGCTTTACATGAAAAGTTCTTCTCTATAGATTGTGCTGCTAACTTCCTCCCATCTGTATCTCCCTTTAGCCCTAGGCTTTTGAAAATGAGACAGTTTTTGAATGAATAATGCTTATGTGATACTTTCTTTAATCATATAAAATAGTCATGGGATGATATTTTTGGTACCCGTTTTTTAATGATGATATATGGACTGTAAGGCTTTCTAGGGAAGAAGGAAGGAGTTATATAGTTTCTGTTTGACCCTGTTCACTGGTAAGAACCAATTCCTGTTTTGTATTTGTGCCCAACCTTTCTCTTTGTAAGGTAACTGATACCTGCCTTACTATTGATTTGATCCGAAGAAAATTATTACTTCTATTTCTGGTAAATTAAAAGGATCCTATAACTTGGGCATGTGGGAAGAAATGGAGCGAATGTGGTTAACTTAAAAATCTTAAATTTTTAAGAGCTTAATATCCCTTAATTTAGTATCAGATTATGATTAATAGCAGTGGTTTTTTGCTACTGAACTCAACTGTGACTATTAATACTGTATGCATGTTCTGCAGAAGCTGCCGTTCAGTAATGTTGGCTGTAAGGGTCTGTGTTGACAGGATTTGTGGGTGTCATTTAACAGAATGAAATGAACAGTTTCTTCGAAACTACATATAGCTAGCTCATATTGTGTTTGGCCTTTCAACTCTTGGAGCAACAAATGAGATAAAAGTTAGTTGTTTCATGGTAAAGGCATTCAAGGGCTTTAATTATTCAAAGGATAATAAAGGAACGTGTCAGAAAATGTAACGTTAAACAATGGATCAGCTTCGTACCACTGACACCCTATGGAGCTATTTTGAAGTTAATGAACTTACTCTGTTGTTTCACCCTTCTCTGCCTAAAAGAAAAGTAAATAAGAAAAAACATGAACTAGCTTGCAAACCTTTCCTGGGAGGGATGCTTCCATTGGCTCTAATGGGGTTACTGGCACGAGTAGAGCTAATTGGGTGAATTAAAGAATTAACAATTTGTCCTCTCAATTTGTGTGCTACCCAATTAGATGTTAAGAAAGAACAGGCGCCTAGGCAACTAAAGCCTTAGTCTAGTAAATTAAATATTTAAAGCAGTTGGAAGCATGAGTGGCTTTTTTATTTTGTTTTGATTTTGTTCAATTTACAAACAGACAAGAAGTCAGAGGTTTGCTGTCTGCAGGTTGTAGAGCATTTAGGATGTCCTGTAACTGGGAAATAACCCTACCTTTCTGCCTAATGCCAGCCCTTATTTGCACTTGGCAGATGCAGTGGAGTATAGAATGTAATTTAAGGTGTTGGTCAAGGCTTAAATTAAATCCTGAATGGGGGAAGCAAACAACTACTACAAAACCCTTTAGCTATTGCAGTGAAATCCTAGGATCCTGCACCCTAGTTTAGTCAATCTGCCCTGCAGAAACAAGCATGTCCTCCTGCCTGGTGACACTGTGCTTGTTGACAACGTAGTCAGGCAAGGCAGAATAGATGCAGTATGGCATCATCGTCCTGTTCCCTTCGGCAAACCAAGCAAACTAGGTAGTTTTACACTGCTGACCTGTCTCAGCGATTGGTCTGAAGATGGTTGTGATAAGAGCTGAAATGGGTGTACAAGTCTAGCTGCTCTTGAAAAAAGTTCCCAAGTACCCACAGGCAGCCTGCACAGCAATGGGATCTCTTCCCTAGCCCTGTGAAGCAGTGAGAAGTTTGTGACCTGAAGTAGAATTTTTCTATTGTGCAGAGAGACCTGAACTGTATTTAGGGATTAAGAAGCAGTGGTAGTCATTAAATTTTTAATGAGCAGAAATGATTGCACATCGCTTTGGTTGTCAGATTTGCCTTTGTTTTTGTGGTGTTCTGCCCGCGTCCCCCCCTCCCCCCCATATTTTTTTTTTTTTTTTTTTTTTTAGGTTTGTGGGCATACAAAGACTTTCAGGAATGCGGCTCTGCTGTCAACTAACTTTCTTACAGCTATGAAAAATACATCCTCATGTTGTAGACCAGAAAAGGAGGTATGTGACTTCAGCATTTAAAGGAAACTAATTACAGTTATCTATAAACAAACTAAATAAGCCTCACCAACTGTTTTGACTATGTGATATGAGCAGATATTGGTTCAGTTGCTGGTAAAGTTACCGTACCAATCAAATTAGTTGGGTTTCTTCCATATCAGCACAGAGATAGTGAACAAACTTGGGTATTTAACAGAACCATTCTGTGGGATTAGCTTTAGTTAGTCTCTAGAGACACTTAATTCACATTAGTTACAGGTATACTGACAGGGTATCACGAAAAAGCTTCAGCGATATGTCAAAGTTCAGATGTGATTTACCAAGTGTATTGGACATCTTATACTGAAAAAAATCTTGGAGCAAACTTGAGTGAGAGTAAGTGAAGTTTCTATCTGTTTCTCTAATCTTGTGAAATAATTCAGTGCAAATCCCAGGGTGGCAGAAATTCTTGCAAAGGAAAGTAACAAATGGTATTAGTTATAGAGGAACTGAAGAATAGAAATAACAGAAATTAACTTCAGTACCACAATAATAAAGTTCTTTGCTCTTGCTGAACTTACAAACTTAGAAGAAATGTTTGCTATGTTGCTTGTGATTAGATAGCCCAGCTTTTGTTTTTTTCACTGTGTTCAGTGATAGAATTCAGGGATAGGGTCCAGTGCACTCGTGTGTAAACTGTTTGTGTAGGAGTATCAAATGATGTGGTATTGCCCTTTATATCTGATAACTCTGATTTTAAAACCAACCAAGGAGTAAGTCTGTACTTCGGTATGTATATAGGTATGTATTTATCTCTTGTTACCTGACAATTATATAGTGGATGCAGTTGAAATGTATACTGTCCGACCTTTTTGCAGCATATCAAGGAAGCTATTAAAATGCACTTCCGTTTATAAATATTGTAACAATTGTTTCTGATTTCCTACTTTGAAATATGGTTGCTTAGGACAGTGCTTTAAGATAGTTTCCTTTTATAATTGTATAGTGTTGTTTAGGAATGAAAGTCACTGTTGAAACAGTATTCTAAAATTTTTTCTTAAATTTTTCAGGGTGTAGTGCATGGGGGTACTTTGTTTTGTTTTATAACTCTAGTTTTCATCTGGCACGTAAGTGCTGTGCCCATTTTGGGCTTCTTGCTGCATTTCCCACTGGTCCTCCACTGCACCTGCTGTGCTGCCACCAGCCATTAATGTTCAGATGAAGCCAAGAGCCTGTTCGGTTATGCCTGAGACATGCAGTAGTGCAGATGGCATGTTCTGTCTGCCTCTACCTGTAACATCTGGCAGCAGTCAGATGTGAGAAAGCCCAAATGAGAAGGAGAGAGAGGGTTTTTTTTTGTTTTTTTTTTTTAAGTTGAGCTGAATAATTTTCTCAGACAAATGATTGCAGATTGCTTGAGATCATAAAGGGAAAAATAAAAACATTTCGACTGGGGGGAAGAATTAGTTTGCTAGATTGAATGCATATATTGTGTGAACTTAAGGAATTTCCCCCAAATTGAGTTGGAAGCTGGTTTAGAGCTTAATGGATATGCTGTATAATGGATATGCGCTGTAGTATCTAGGGAGATTTCTCCTTAACAGTCCCCAAGAATCTATCAAACCACGTATCAGCAGATGGTTGTGAACTTTCTTTTCTGTACTCTGTTAGGAGTTTTGCCATTGATCTTGATACAGTTTAAAATATAGTTTCTGATTGTGTATGTGATTGTGCAGATAACATTAGAATGGCATTTTTCCTTCAAAATGACCTTGTTTTTGTTATGAAGAGCCTGACAAGGATGACTTACTCTGCCATCTGATGATCACATAGCCAAGAATTGTCAAACTACTTTTCAGAATCAAGTGCTTTTTTCATACCTTATCTTCTAAAAATCCTTTTACTGTAGTAAAATGCATCTCCATAAAGCTTGCCTTGTGTAATAATCACAGCAGGGTAAATACTAGGCAATCAAATGTGGAGGTAGAAGCCATGCCTCAGAACCAAAAACCTGTGTCATTCTCAATAATCTTCAGTGTTTTTCTCACTAGAAGCAATTCTGTGCTCTTGGTGGACTTTGTCAGTTTTTACTACTGCTAATGCAAATGGCTGAACACTGCAAAAGGTACGGTATCTTCAGGTACTGAGTTATAGCTTTATAATCCAAAGTAATTCTTATTCTTTAGTCTCCTTTTTTTTTTTTTCTTTCCTTTTAAAAATTCCTCATCTGCTGCTTTGGTGCCTGTGGGTCTGAAGCAAGTTTTCCCAGGCAGCAGCACACTGAAGGACAGAGGTACAAGAGGAACACACAGAAAAACTTCAAGTTATTAATTCTGGTGATGGTGATTAAGAATCAATTTGGGTTATGATAAAAAGCAGACAAAAACAAAACAAAACAAAGCACGTTTCTACACATTCTGCTGTGCCAGCCTTGAACTCATTGTGTTGCAGGTCTCTGTTATGAGCACCACTGCTGTCACCAAAGGTGAGGAGAGATGGGTCATATGGTAGGCTGGATGCTTCTATGGATAATTCCTGATGTGGAACGGGGGAGGAACCATTAACTTTTGTCTTCTTGTCATGAAGTGACCAATAATCCCTTCTGCCTACCAGAGGAAAATTATTACCTTAACTTCTGTGGATATCATGCCTAAAAATGTCGTGGCTCTAGACTGAAAATATAACAATGAGTGGAATCTCTGCCTCCTTCATCCAGATTATGTGAATTAATGATGTTCTGCCTCACCTTCTCTAGTGTCATACACTGGTATTTCTTAGATTTGGGTTTATGAATGGAGCAATATATATTTAATGAACAGATGCATGGTGCCGGTGGTTAGAGAACCCCAATTCCTCAGTTTCGTGTTGTATATAGGATAGGAACAATTTTCGAGCAGAAATTTAGGATGAAAGGATGGCCTTGTGGGTTGACCTCATCAGCAGCTGAGCACCCAAGCAGCTGCCTGCTCACTGCCTCCTTCCCTTACCCCTGGAGGAGCACCCCGCTGTCTTCTGTCCTAGTTTGTATTTCAGTGTGACATTAAGTGGTTTGGGATGTGCCTTTGGCCAGTTCAGGTCACCTTCCCCACCTGTGTTCTCTCCCAGCTTTTCTAACCCCCAGCTGACTCGGTGTGAGAGGGGGTGGAGTGGGAAAAAGAGGAAGCCTTGGTGCTGTGTGAACACTGTTCAGTAACAGCCACAATAATGCAATGGTACCAATACTTGTAGCCACAAACCCAAAATACGGCACCATGGGGCTTGCTATGAAGGAAGTCAGCTCCATCCTGGCCAGATGCAGTACATGTAGGAATGCATATCCAAGTTAATTATAAATAAACAAATCTTCTGTGGATTAATAAGGATTTTTTTTCCTCTCATATAGATGAAATAGACAAGAAAGGACTGAGTTCTGGAAGAGAGATGAATAACATTACAGTGCAGTGGAGATGATAAAACATTAAAAAAAATGCTTTTTATAAAGCAAGAGGAAATTTAATAGATCTGGAAAATGGATCATGTCAGTCAATCATAAGAATCACTGTCCTCCCAAGGGAGGAGGGGGAGAATAATATGGCTTCTCACCTACCGCTATTTCTGACAGTGCTAATGAGTGTGGAACAAAAAGTGAGAAGGACTCTGATTTCTGCTATCAAAACCAGCTCCTAGGCAAAGACCTGATCTTGTCATGTGCAAAGGCCCTTTGCTTTCAGAATAAATAATACATACTTTTAAAATCTCATCTTTGCCAGAATATGTGCAGAAGGATCTTGACAACACCAACGTGAAATGTAGCTGCATTAATCACCTTTGAGCTTTGAAGAGTCGTTGGTAGAGAGGCATATTTTGTGTTAGCATTTATATTATCTCGTTTGGACAAAATGGCTTGAAACTCTAATGTCCATTTTTTTCATGTTAGCAATTAAGCTGCTAAGACTGTTTCTGAGGATGAAAAGTCAATAGGTAATTCTTACACCCTATGGTGTGAGAGGTATGGCTTTAATTAAAGCTTCAGTAATAGAAATGCATCAGTATTCTGTGCCTTTTGCATCTTCAAAATAGTTGTCTTTATGTTATGTCTTTTTCAGTTGTGCATGTTCTGTCTCTTGCATGTCCTATCAAAATAGTTGTCTTTATGTTATGTCTTTTTCAGTTGTGCATGTTCTGTCTCTTACATGTCCTATCTCCTCTGGAGTAGGAACCAGTCTACATGGGCAGTGGCAGCAGCCCACCAGTTACCTGTGTGGTGTGCTCTAGGTGAGTTTTGAACTGCTGACCTCCTTAGAGGTCCCATTCTCCCGCAGTTCTTCTCTCAATGACAAGCTCTACAAGTGTTCACTGTAACCTTATTGTTATTAAAAAAAAGAAAATAATAGTATATAAAATGGGATACCAGACCTCTTTCTGTCGGGATAGTGGATATGAAGCTGCTGCCGGTTAAGTAGATGCTAGTGCTATTTAGTTTACAAACTTTACGAACATCAGGTTTGACTTTAATGACTTCTTCATTAAAGTCAAGTGTTTGCCACTCCTGTGAGTGGAGAAGTTTAACAGATAACAATTAAAAGTGACATGAAGAGTAAGACAACTAGCAGGTCCTTCTGTGGGAGGAACTAAGAAAAAACAATGAAATGCTCATGATGGCAATTTTAGTAACTCACATTTTGCTTGTTTCATAACTTCCATAAGTTCATGAAGGCTCGAGCAGTGTACACACCGAGGAGTGATTCCCTCTGTGTAACAAATCCTCCCCTCCCTCTTCGCAGGGGGAGGGAAGGGCGCTCACCCTAATGTCATGCTTGTGCACCAGCACCTGACTGTGCAACTTATTATTCACCAAGGCAGCTTGAAGCAGGAGGAATAAAGTCTTGTCATATATGCTTAGCAGAGGACAAGCTGAATGGCTTGTAACAGTGTGGGCAAAGGAGATGGGAGGCCGCTCCACTGGTGTGCCAGAGCAGCTTGGTTGACCTTGGGACTTTTGCCCTCAGTGGAGGTGCTTCAGGATGGGTTTCTCACAGCCA